GTTACAGCTGCCTCCATTTCGGCAGGCACACCTCAGGGCACAGTCAGGGCCGTAGTATCCTGGGGGACAGGCTGTGGGAAGAGGAGAGCTCGCTGCAACCCCCAGCCGCAGCGTGGGGCCGGCACGGCGCAGGACCGTGAAGGCAGCGACTGCAGGCAGCTGGTGCAGGCAGCAGCACTGCTCAGCCCACGCCGACTCTCAGGCCAGAAGAGGTTTGCGTGGGACACAGAGGAAGCCCAGGTCGCATGAGTGATACAATGGATGCCCACATTCCCATACCTTGGCTGCAGCGGGAGCCACTCCAGCCTGAGGCGCAGGAGCAGCCGTAGGGGTCCGGCAGGCAGAAGCTCAGTCCCCTGCAGCCCTGGGCTCTCTGGCACACCTCCTGGCAGTTGCGGCCAAACTGGCCTTCCCGGCAGGCTGGAAAAACAAGCGTGGTCTGCCCTCACCCACCATTCGCCCATGCACTATTAGTGCTGGGCATGGAACTGGCTTGGGCGCCCCAATCCCCGTGTTGCCACCCAGAGCAGGTACAGAAGCCGTGTCCTGCTGAGAAGGCAGATGGTGCAGCCCTGCTCCAGAAACGGGGCACCGTGGGTGGAGAGGCACTGGGGATGCATGTGGCATTTCTGGCCACAGCGCCCAGGTCTGGGGGTGCAGCAGGGCCCCCGTGCGTGTCCTGGGCACAGGTCCTACTGTCGGGCAGCCCAGCACCTACCTCGTTCACAGCGGGTGCCCATGAACCCAGGAGGGCAGATACATTCACCGACATGGTCATGGCAGATGCCGCCGTTCAGACAGTCGGGACAGTCCTTCTCACAGGATGGTCCCCATTTCTTCGCGGGGCAGGCTGCAGAGAGAGCGGAGGGGGCACAAGGTTGCACCAGGCCAGGGGGCAGGGTACGGCTGCCTGGCCCTGCGTCCTTAGGAGCTGGGTCCCTGCTCACCTCTCACGATAAGGCGGTAGAAGGCACTCCAGAGAGGGCTGTCCCCCATGAATGTGGCACTGTAGACCCCATTTTCACTCACGCTGACATTGGGGAGCATCAGGGTGACAAGGTCGTCCCTCACCTCGCCTCGGTCCGTGGTCTGGTAATAGCTGCCTGCAAGGGGGCAGAGGGTGACCCGGGGCCCCCCTGTGCCCCCTGGGGCTGGTGCCAGGCACCGGCTGGGTGCAGCTCCAGCCCCACGCCTGCTCTCAGGGCCACTTGCCATTTCTTTTCCACATAACGTCCATTTCCTTCTTCTTGAGGACCCTGGCAGAGAAGGTGGCTGGCTCAGCAATGTTCACGGACTGCGTGGCCTTCACCGGGAAGAGGTGGGCTGCGGAGGAGTAGGATGATGAGGAGGAACAGGCTGAGCAGCAGTCACCCCCCCAGGACACCAGTACCCCTAGACCACCAACCCCAAAACACAGCCCTGGTGCAGCCCAGCACCCACCACACATGTTTCTGCTGGGATGTCACAACGTGCCTTCCGGTGGCCGCCCGTGGGAGCCGGGACCCCTCGACCCTCCGCTGGGACAGGCGCTCCCTTCCTGGCCCACACCTTGGCAGACACCAAAGAGTAGGATGGGGCACCCTGCCCCCCGGCCAGCCCGCCAGCCCCAGCCCAGCACGGGATGCCAGTGGCAGCAGCCTGAAGAGGTGACAGCTGGGACAAATCTGCACGGTGCACCCTGCTTGCTGTCAGCCTGGGGAGGTGCAGAACAGCAGCAGCACGGGCAGGCGAGGAGCGGCGATGGGAAGCAGGCATGCGGAGGGCTGCACACCAACCCACAGGACCAGTGTTGGGGTGTGCAGCAGCAATGAACTCTCAGAGTATTAATGTGAGTCAGCCAGAGCCCAGCTTTGAGCATAAACGGGACTATAAATACATTAAAGCCTGGGAAACCAAGCCCTGGGTGTGCCAGGACAGAAACAAAAGAGGACGCAGGCTGGCAGTGGCTCTTGGGGCCTGCCTGCACACCGGCTTTGGATACACTCAAAGCAGCCATGCCAGGTCGGAGGCGTGCAGAGTCGGAGCTAAGGCACATCCAGCCCTGTGTCCTGCCCTGGTGAGGCCGGGGCCAGGAGGAAGTGGCACATGCTGCAGATGCCCAGGGAAGGGCACCGCAGGTCACGCGTCCCAGTAATTCCCCAGAATCGCCTCCCTGCCTTCAGCAGTTTGCAGCCCAGGAGCTTTCCAAGGCAGGTATCATCCCTCTAGTTGAGATCTTTCTACCCTGGACTTTGCAGTCCCTTGTAAAGGGCACGTAGATGTGGCCCGTGTCCTGTCTCATGCCATCTCACTCGCCGGAGTGAGAGCCCGACTTGTCCCCTGGGGATCACACATGCAGCGCTTTGCATTTACCTATGCTGAATTTTATCTGCTGCTCCACCGCTGGTCAGCAGTGCCTGCAGCCCCCCCCAGAGCTCATCCCTCCCGGGGCAGGTCAGGGAAAGCAGCTGGCACAGCTGCTTGTTCAGCTATTTATTACCACAACGGATGGCACAGGTCCCTGCAGAGACCCCGTGCCACGCTGGTGGGGACTTCCCCACATGACAAGAACCACAAATTAACTCCTATTCTCGTTCTCTTCCTTTTAGTCAAATATTCACCCATGAAGAGACCTCCCCTGCCACCCCCTGGGTGCAGAGTTGCTCCCAAAGAGCCTTTGAAAGGGAATTTTCCTAACTCTCTCTGGAAATCCGAGCAGACGGCATCAGCCAGGTTGCCCACAGCATCCTCACTGCTTCTGCCCCAGAGATCTGCCCACTGCAAACTCACGCTGCCTCTTCTTCGGGTATCACATAACCACAAATTCTGCTCATTATTAGTTTCCACTAACTTGCCTGGTTCCAATTTGGGTTTACAGGCCTGTAACTCCCAACGCAGAAAGCTTTTAGGAAAGGCTGGCATCCCACGAGCAGCCTTGCCGCCCACCCTCCGTTTATGCCCCACAGGCAACGGCACAGCCCTGCTCACGGCAAGCCCGGCCCGGCAATGCTGCGCTGCTCCGTTCAGCTGTTTATCACCTGTCTCCTGCTATCAGCACTGGCATTTTACACAGGTCCCCCAAGAAGTGTCCCCAGCTTCTCTATGGTGCACATGGATGCAAAAATAAAATAATTTTGTTTCCTGCAATTGTCTTTCTGGGCATCATTCTGGATATTTTGAAAAATAGGTTACCTTCGGTTTAAACCCTTCTGAAACTGCTCTTCAGGTCTCTTTGGTCTGCTTTACTTTGCTTTTACAGTAAAACTTCCAAAGCTTATCATCTTTCCTAAGTTCTTTGTGCATGACCTTTTGGGAGGTACTTTCCTCTAACACCATTCCCCACCCGCTGCTTCATCACCCTGGACTGCTTCGGTGCGCTCTTGGGCTTAACAGGACCCCTGACACACACCGAGCCTCCCCAGCAGGCTCTGTACACACCCCTCCCTCCCCCTGCAAAGACGGAATTTTTTTGGTTACTTTTTCCTTTGATTTATCTTCCTCATTTATTTTTTTACTTCTCCTTCTCTAAATTAAACAAAGCAACAGCAGCTTGTTTGGCACTTGGAAAAAAGCCATTTTTGGGCACCCAGACACTGACTGGCTTGTTCACAGCGGTATCTATGTCAACCCATAGGAGCGGGGGGCTGGCTGGGAGCTGCCCCTCTGTGGGACACCCTGTCACGCCGGTGGAGCCCCAGAGCTGTCACCTCCCTCCGTGACTTATATACGGGACATCTTGCAGCCCCTGCTGCACTCCTCGCCCCCCACGGCCCTGCTGCTGGCCATGCCCCCCCCATCATCTCCTGCCTTCCTTTCTCATTGCCTCTGTGCTGCTCGCCTTCCCAGACTGGCTGGCTCCATTTCCGATAGGATCACTACCATTTTTGGGTCGAGCCTCTGGCCGAGGATCCAGGCTGGTCCCTGCTCCGTGGGGGATGCTCGGACCCCACCAGCAGCCTTTGTTCCCCAGCTTGGAGATACTAGAGCTGCTCAAAACAGCTTGCTAAAGCTGTGTTTTAACACAGGCAGGGAAACTTGTATCCCCTCCATCTCATTCTTAGCAAAAGGTCAACTGTTTTAGCCAAAATTGTATAAAAAAGAGCTAGAAAGCATCCTGAAGCAAATAACTATCACAGAAAATTTCAGTTCTTATAGTTTTGCAAAGTCCCAAGCACGGAGGCAAGCAGAAGGAGAGCATAGGCAGTGTGGGAGAGCGCTGCCCTGGGTGGTACCCCTGCCACTGGCCAGCCCAGGGAGGCCCTTTTGCCTTTTATGGCCCAGAATGGGAGCAGGAGACAAAAGCCCAGTGCTGCCCTTGGCTGCAGCGTGCCTTGACAGTGCTTCTTAGCAAGACCCCGCCACCAGCGCAGTGGGTGCTGCGGCATAGTGCTCGCCAAGCACCCAGGGAGGCTGCTTGAAACGTGCCTCGGTGCTGCCCCATGCCCCTCTGCCCACAGCAGGGGCACAAGACTGGCACAGCTCCCATGGGCTGCCCCCCGCCCTGGTTAATGATTTCCAGACCCCACCGTCTCCTCCAAGGGCACCCAGCTTCCTCTTGGACCTTGCCCTGCTGCCGGGCACCGTTCCCAGGCCAGTGGCTGCCTGCACTGCTGCCCATCCCTGCACACCTCCATGGCGCTCGGCCACACTCCTCCAGCGAAACATCCCTCCCCTCTCCACCCCACTGGTGCCAGCGGATCCCAGACCTAGCCTGTGCGTCACCGCCATCCCGCCGCCACGCTGGCTGGCGCCAGGATTGCAAAGCGCACGGCAGGCCGCTCCCACCCGGGGCCGGG